AAGAGCCACTCTTGCCAGTGGCTGCTTTTTGAGCCAGCTCCCCTGTTTGTAAGAACGCCTAAGGCAAAACACAAAGTTGAGAATTGTCCGTTTGCTCTTGCTGCATTTTTCTCACCTTGGAGTCCTGCTGCCAGTTCTTCATGCTGCTTCTCCCCCAGGTGACTCCCTGGGTGCGGAGATGTGATAGCTGCTTGATCACACACACAGCGAAGATAATGGCCTGAGCTTCTGCATCTGAAGTTCCTTGGGCGATGCTAGCCCTGCATCCCCTTTCGAGTGTGCGCTGTCAGCAGAAACGCTACACCTAGTTTTGAAGCTCTAGACAGATGCCAGATTCTGAGTCACAGGACAAGGTCTATTTTAAAATGGTAGAAGGACGAGAGAATACGCATTGTACATGCCTGGGGTGTGCGGCCTGAGGCAGGGTTATGATCCGCTTCCCAGTGCGTCGTATGAAATTTACAGCAAGCTCCTTTTGCTATGGAGTCCCTGGGTGGTGCAAATGGTTAACTTGGTCACCTGCTAACTGAGAGGTTGGAGGTTGGAGTCCACCCAGAGGTGCCTTGGAAGAAAGGCCTGGTTATCTACTTCTGAAAAAGCCACCACTGAGAACCCTGTGGAGCACGGTTCTACTCTGACACACATGGGATCGAAATGAGTCAGAGTCGACTTGACGGCTGCTGGTTTCCTTTTGCAGTAGGTCTTCCCAGGCACAGAAAGCCGTCCGTTAGTTTGACAGTGTTTATTGTTATTGGTTGCCACTGAGCCAGCTCTGACCGAGTGTCACCTTGCGTGTAACAGAAGGAAGCACTGCGTGGTCTTATGCCGTCCTCACAGTCTTTGCTGTGTTTGAGCCCATTGTTGCATCCATCTCTTTGAGGGTCTCCCCCTTTGTCGCTGACCCTCTACTTCAGGTGAGCCGAAGTCTCCCTGTCCTTGCTTCTGAGGAGAATTCTGGTTCTGTTTCTTCAGAGACTGATTTTTTCCTTCTCCTCAGTCCGTGGCATCCTCGGTAGCTCCCAGGCTAACGCAATAGTTCTCTGAACCTCTCAGAAGGGGGCTCTCCAGGGCTTAGGCCTTTGGAAGGGAGCCCCGTGGAAGTTGTGACATTTTCCTACCATCCTGCTGATGCCCTGGCGGCTTGGTGACTCAGGATTCTGCCAGCTGCTTCGGGGTTCTTTGTTTTCCCTTCCCCGCACCCCCCCCCATCTTTCCATCCTTCTCATGAGCTCACCCTGCCTTTGTTTTGCTGTTTGAAAATTACTGAAGGCCCGCTGGAGGGCTTGCCAGAGGCCCGTGGAAATCTGACCGTGAAACAGACTACTTTCTGTTGTTGCTGCAGAGTTTTAACATGAATTATCTTCTGTAAATAGGCAGAAGGCAGCTGCGGCCGGCTGCTCACCACCGCATCCCTGCTCCGGCAGGATAATAGGATAATGAGGCCATCTTTCTGTAAATAGGTGCAATTGTTTATATGTCTACCAGCTCCAGAGGGGTTCACAGTTTTTATCTTGACTTCCAGCCAGCCTTTCTGAGTTCAGGGAGGGGTCGCTGGACGGAAGAGCAGGCCTCCAGCGAGAAAACCAGAGGGGATAACCTCTAAATGGATGTTGCAGCCAAGTGTCCATCTCTGCAAGATGCAAGGATTTTCTAGCAAAACAGAGTTTCAGTGAAACCTCTCAGGAACAGCCAAGTCGAGCGCATTTTGAGGTTAATTTAGAACAGAGAAGCAGGTGAAGCATCAGTGTGGGGACTGCAAACATTGGGCTGAGTTAATTCGTTCACACTGATGGCCGCAGAACCTTAACTGGTGGCACCTCACAGAGGTTGGCGCTGGGTGATCCTGGGAGCCTGGCCCGTTAACAGCTCCGTCTGGAAGGTTCGAGCCCATCTGCACGTAGCAGTGGGGAAAGGTGAGAGCATGTGTTGGGACAGCGGTCTGTGGCTTGATCAGGCTTGGAAAGGAAAAAATGGGCTAAATTAGATGTATTCTAGAGTCAGTTGGACACCTTTAGTTTCCTCTAAGTCCCTGGGTGGTGAAAATAGTTAACACACTCAGCTGCTAACTGAAAGGTTGGAGGTTCGAGTCCATCCAGAGGCACCTCAGAAGTAAGGCCTGGCGATCTACTTCTGAAAAATCAGCCACTGAAGACCCTGTGGAGCACAATTCTACTCTGACACACACTCGACCACCTGGTGGTTTTTTGAAGGTTCATCGACTGCCCGTCCTTTTCCTGCTCTATTTTTGAAGACCTAAAGGGCCCAGCCTTTCAGCTCCCTCCAGTAGCTCCTTGGTTATTTGGGAAGGGACCTTTCAACACAAGAAGGCCCATCAGGAAATGGAATTTCTGTTCCTGGACGAGGCCTGGAAGAAGCCGTTCCTCTCAGCCCAGTGCTGGAAGGGGAGGAAGCAGGTTTTCTTGCGGGAGCCGTAAATCTGCCACCAGATGTCTCTGTTGCCCAGTCTACAGGCATTCCAGCAAGCGTTGAAGGCTGGGGAAGCCTGGACCTGATCTTTCTGTGGATCTCACGGTGCACCCCTCACTTAAATGAAGGAGAAACGACTGAGGGTGTGTGCATATGGACTGGGGCAGAGGGAGGCCCTGCTTTGGTTTTTCTGAGCTGCCTCAAAATGTGTCCCCCTAATTCCCTGCTCATTTATTTCCCTGCATTGATTCCAGAAGCCTGAGAGAGTTGCAGGAAGCTCACAGAACAGATTAAATAGTGGCAGGAAAGGTGCGGTCATGAGGCAGGCTGATCTCTGTCTTTTTCCCTAAGGTGGCACTTGGTGCTCTCACAGTGCTGGAGACAGGAATGCCACTGAGTCCTGGGCTTCCTGTTGGTCCCCAGCCAACCAACCAAGGGAAGGATGCAGATGTTGTAGGTCTGCTGGTGCTCTTCCTTGAGGGTGCGTGATTTGCTTGACCGTTAGTGGAAATCACATTTTGAGCCTGGGTAATGCAGGTGGTTTGCAGTTGGCTGCTAACCTGAAGGTTGGTGGTTCTAACCCACCCAGCAGTTATGCGGAAGAAAGGCCTGGTGATCTGCTTCCGTAAAGATTATAGCCAAGAAGACCCTGCGGAGCTCAGTTCTACTTTGTAACACGTGGGGTCGTCATGAGGTGGAATTGACCCGACAGCAATGGGTTTGGTTTTGGTTTTTAAATCATTTTTTGTAGGTTTAAAAAATTGCATTGCAGGATCAACTGGTGAATTAATTAGGCCAATTTCAGTACATCTGGGATGATGAACGCGGTGTGTGCCTAATCTCTGAAGGAGGGCGTGATGAAAACCGCCCGTCAGTTTAATCACACAGGTAGTTCAGGGAGAGAAAACCAGCCATATTAGTCGGTTTGATAAATTTGGCGTCTGCCCCCGTTGGGCTGGTCTGAGCTGGGTATGGTGATTTAAGCTGCACCTGCTCTTCCACATTTTTCCCCAGGTAGGAACAACATCTTTTAAAAATAGACTTTCTTCTTTAGAGTGATTTTAGGTTTACAGAAAAATCGCCCATTAAGTACAGAGTTCCCATATATTCCCTCCTCCCTGCAGACGGTTGCTCCTGTTATTAACATGTCACACTAGTGTGATGCATTTGTTACAGTTGGCAAACCAATATTGATACATTATTATTAACTAAAGTCTGGAGTTTCCATTAGGGCTCGCACTTCGTGTTGTACCGTCCTGTGGGTTTTAACAAATGGATAACGTCCTGTGTCCACTATTACGTATCATACAGAATAGTTTCCCTGCCCTAAAAATGCCCTGGGCTCCACCTCTTCATCCTCCTCCCTCCCGATTCCCTGGCAACCCCCTGCTCTTTTTCCTGTCTCCACACTTTTCCCTTTTCCGGAATGTCGTATGGTTGGAGTCCTAGAGTGCGTGCTTTTTCCTACTGGCATCTCTCCCTCAGCAACATGCATTTAAGGTTCCCCCATGTCTTTTCCAGACTTGGTAGCTCATTCCTTCTTACTCTGAATAATGTTCCGTGTGTGGATGTCCCACAGCGTGTTTATCCATTCGCCTGTTGAAGGGCATCTTGTCTGCTTCCAGCTTTCGGCAGCTACGAATAAAGCGTCCGTAAACATCCATGTGCAGGGTTTTACTTGCACATGCATTTTGATATGACTGTCAAGTGATCTGACCCGTCCACTCTCCACTGGCATGATTTCCCAGCTGTCCTTCTGCCGTCGTAGAGAGAGTGGGTGTGGTGTATTGTGCGACAGTGTCGTGGATGAGCGCACAAAAACATCGTTTTAAAGAACAAATAACCAGTTGCCATCAGGTCGACTCTGACTCATGGTGACCCCATGTGTGTCAGAGTAGAAGTGTGCTCCGTAAGGTTTTCAACAGCTGATTTTTCTGAAGTAGATCACCAGGCCTTTCTTCCAAGGCACGTCTGGCTGGACTCAGACCTCTAGCTTTGCAGTTAGCAGTGAGCGCGTTAATCATTTGCACCACCCAGGGACTCCTTTGAAGAGCAAGTTGAATATTTACAGGAGGCATCACTCATCTGCATCTCTCTACTTTTTTAGTTGAATTATCTGGCAGTGATCTTAACAGATTTAGGAACTTTTCCAAATAAAAGGCCGGGATTCAAAAATAAGAATCCAGTCAATGAATGGATGAGTTGTAGCTGAAGAACCCAGGAGAACATGTAATACGGAGCGAACAGCAGCAAAATATAATTCAAGGTGATTCATACTCAACATCTCATCACCTTCAACAGCACCACCATCTCCTTCATGTAGGTTAGAGGTTGAGTTACAAGGCATCATAAGATGCAGTCTTGATCTTACTCCAAAGAAGGTGTATCCTTAAAGAATTTTCATAGATTCTCTCTCCATCCCCCAGGAGTCACACACAAAAAAGCACATTGGCTTGTTCAAAAAAAAAAAAAAAAAAAATTAGGATGGTTTTTAAGAAAACCTCAGTGTCGAGGTACAGTGCTTGGCAGTTTCTGACAGCAGAGCATGATGCAATATGATTATTTCTTAACAGCTTACGGAGAGGGGTGAAGAGGTGATGGAGGTGCCCCAGGAAGATCTGAGCCCAAGTGAACAGTACTATTATCAGAAGGAGCAAAACAGCTCGCTGGAAGCCCCCACTGAAAGGCGGTATTCCCTGAAGATCCGAAATGCTACCAGCTGCAACACGGGGACTTACAGGTGCACGCTGTGGGGTCCGGAGGGGCAGAGGAACCAAAGTGGCACCGTGACCCTAAGAGTGATAGGTGAGTCATCTGCTGCTCTTGTTTTCTTCTTGCAGAATACGTGCGTGCTTTCTGTAGGTCCTAAAATCGTTCCTGTCGTTCAGCGTCTGACACGGAAGCGTGGAATCACGCCTCTGGTTAACGGGGAATTCTACCTCAAGGATGCCATAACTTTCTTTACGCAGCTTTAAGGATGCCTTGTGTTTGACTTCTGCCCAACACTTGTCAGCCTCTGAGGCTCGAAATGACAAACATGCCTTCACAGAGTCCCTGCTTTTGCACAATGCCACCTTCTCCTTCTGGCGGGTATCTGAAAGGAATCTGACCCAAGCTAATATTCTTCTATTCGCAAGACCAAACTCACGGGCAGTGTCTCACTGCTTAGGGGGCTGGTCTTTGGAGTGGTTCACTGTTACTATATATATGTTATTCAGGTATGTTATATAAATATATAACATCATAACATAAAACCAAAAACCAAACTCGTCACTGTCGAGTTGATTCCGACTCATAGCGACCCTATAGGACAGAGTAGAACTGCCCCATAGGGTTTCCAGGGAGCGGCTGGTGGATTTGAACTGCCGACCTTTTGGTTAGCAGCTGAGCTCTTAACCACTGTGCTACCAGGGCTCCGTAATAACACGGGCTGTATGTTATTGATATGTATAAATAGACATACTTTATACTTCATTCAGTCTCCAGCCCCTCACCCTGCTTTGTCTGTCTTCATAACCCTTAGTGCACCTGACATATTACATATGGATTTGTTACCTTCTGTCCCCCTGTGGGAGCTAGAACCTCCTCTGTTTCATTCTCTGCTGTTTCCTGGCACATAGTAGATGCTCAGCGAGTATTATTTACACGAATGAAAAATGAGAGTCACATTGCGGGGAAAGCAGAGAGAAGGAGCATGTCCTGTGAGGAGTGGAAAGGACGTGAACAGTGTGTGATTGTTTCCTGTCCTTGTCCTGGTGGGAAGGCGGTTGTGCCCGCAGGTGAAGTGGTCAGTCTCTGAATTCACTTAGATCTAGGTCAGATACTAGCTCTGTCGCTCATTAGCACGTGACCTCGGGCAAATCACTTCTTGACTCTAAGCCTCAGTTTTCCCAACTCTAAAATGGGCACAGTGTTATCTATGACATATGTTTGTTGTGCAGGTTAAATGAGATACTGCCCTAAAATGCTTGGTACAGTACCTGGGGTGCTTCATAAATGTTAGGTACCATTAGGACAGCGGCTCGCAACCCTTCTGTGTTTGAATCTCAGGCCCTTGTGAGAATCTGTCTCTAGAATCTTGCACAGAATGTTGAGTGCAGTGTCAAGGTTGTCAGTTCTCTCCAGACCCCGCTAATCATCTGCGTTCCGCTTGCTCCTGCCTGGACCTTCAGGCAGATTTGGTTACCAGCCAGACTACAGCCAGAGCTAAACACACTCCCCAGGCGGCACAGAGAATGTTGGAGCCTGAGCGGGGAGAGCCTGTTCCCTCCGTGTCTCATCCCGAGCTTAGCGCCTCTCTCCTCCTGCCCTTGCTCCCGTCAGTGCTGCAGCCCCAGCTTAGGAACCCCCCGGGGAGCTGGTCTGTCTCCCACCTGCGCTTCCTGCCTTGGTGGAAGAGCTTGATGTACACTTATCCGATAATACTGGAGCGGCTCACCTGCCCCACTGCATAGCCCCTGAATCCCCCTGAGGACAAATGGAATTCTGTGCAACACCAATGAAATGAAGATAATTGCGAACGAACCAATGGAGGTCCATCACATGCGGAGGCTAAATGAAAGCCGGGAAACTCCCGGCATCCACCGTGGAGGCGGACGGGCAGCGGGATAAGTCTGGACCTGACACCTGGTTCTGCCACTTGGCCTATCTGACCTCGGGTCCTGCATCTGTAAAATGGGGATGCTCATACCTGCCTCTGAAGGCGGTTGTGAGGACCAAGTGAGGTGCTGTCGCCACATCCCCCCCGCTCACTGCTGGGCTCCGAGTCGTACCAGCTCCCGCTGTGCCCATCTCTGTAATCCTCCTCGGGGGCGTAGATGTGAAGGTAGGAATGGCAGACTTGTAGGACTTAAAAAAAGTAGCAACAAAGCAGTCTTTACTTTTTATCATGGTAGGAAAGCTGTGCTAAATGGCTTCATATATTACTTTTTCTTTTTTTTTTTAAGGATGCCCCAAGCAACACAGAGAAGTGAATTTCAAGAAATACAGAGCCGAGATTGTACTGCTGTTGGTGCTGGTTATTTTCTACTTAACACTCATCATCTTCACCTGTGTAAGTATCGTTCCGGCAGCATCTATGATTATTGAAAGATCACCTGGAGCGCTCACCTGAATATGTTTTGTAGATTAAAAAAAAAAAAACATTGTCGTCAAGTCAAATAGCGTCCATATAGGACAGAGCAGAACTGCCCTATAGGGTTTCCAAGGAGCGCCTGGTGGATTCGAACTGCCGACCTTTCGGTTTGCAGCCGTAGCTCTTAACCACTGCGCCACCAGGTTTTCCTTATTGCATAAAGGGTACCGAATTTCTGTTCGGGGTGATGAAAAAATTTGGAAATGGATATTGTTGTGCAACATGGTCAATGTAATTAATGTCACTGGATTGTGCACCTAAAAACGGTTAATGTTATGTGAATTTCATCTCAATAATAATTCAGAAAAGATATAAGACAAGTCCTGCCCTCAGGGAGCTTACAGTTTGACCATTAGGGTTCTTTGCACATAAGAAGATAATGAGAACTACCAGGCAGTAAATTTAAACAATGAGTGACCTTAGTTTCTTGTTTGCAAATGCCTACTTCTGCGGCACTGGCTCTCCACATGGATCTCTAACAGTAGGGCTTGGTGTGGTCCCACTCCTCCATAATCTATCGAATGTCTTGGTTAAAGATTGGAGATAGCAGTGAAACGGTGCAAGTCCACGTGACTGAGGTGCTGAGTATAACGAGAGCCTCCGGAACGAGCTGTCCTGCCAACTCTTGGCGGAGGTCAACTGGAGGTGACAACTGCTGCATTTTTCCAATTATTCGGTTCTCAACTTATCTCTTTTTGTTTCATTTTTCAGAAGTTTGCACGACTACAGAGTATTTTTCCAGATGCTTCTAAACCTGGCATGGAGCGAGCTTTTTTCACAGTCACTTCCCAAAGTAAGCATTTGGGGCCAGTGATTGTTCAGAAGACAGAACTGGTATGAGCAGGATTTCTGGAGGCTAATTTTCTTCAAACCGAGGGTTCTGTGGTGTGCCTGTCTTCCACACCGGACAAGAGAAGAATGAACCCCACATTGAAGATGGTACCCTTCCTATGAAGTCCTTCACCTGACTGGAACATCTGAAAGTGGGTCTCACTCACTTTCTGCAGTTGAGGCTTGAAAACCATGACGTGACCACGTCCCATGGGGCCATCTGCACAGTGTTCTCCAGGGCTGCCTCTTCATGGCTCCCGTCTTAGTGTTTTGTTCAGCTGTCTAGTCAACCTCTTGGAAACTTTTTCAGTCATACAAAAGCTATGGGGAGATACTGTTGGAAAAGGGTCTTGGGAAATATGAGTACCCCGTGACAGGCTCCTAAGGACAGCTGTCTTCTTCCACATCTGGGAAGCATCTCTGTGAATATGCTGTGTTTTGTATCAGCCCAGCTGTTTTCTGTCTGGGAGAAATGGACAGGCCAAGCTGTGAGACAGTGGGAAATATTTGGCAAATAATTTCCTGGTGTGAAGTCCCTGCAGTTACTAAGAAGTATTATGTGTACATAGAAATAGCAGGTCCGTGAACTGTTCCTCAGAAGGTCCTTTTCATCTGGGAAGGACATCCATAAAGAAGAGTGCCACATTTATTTTTATATCTACATGTACTTGCCAAAGAAGGATTGTGTTTTTCTCCTTTTCAAATCTGTATCTACAACTGCATATCATTGTTCATTGACAAATGCCCGCAGTATGGAGATTAAGAAGAAGTCAGAACTGACAAGAGGATTAGAAGCTCTTCTCATGACCTGCTGGCAGATACCGGACCAACCGTGTGACTGGTTGCCCCACTACCTAGCTATACCGTCTTGGGTCGGTTCCTTATGGTTTCTACTTTCTGAGTTGTTGTGTGAGTGGATTCAAATAATGTGTGTGAAAATGTTTTGAAAAAGTATAAAGCACTATACAAATTTGAAACTCCATTTGATCATTATTCTTGTTATGACAGTAATGTTCTGGGGAGGAGAGAATGCCTTTCATGTTTCATGGTTTCCACCATTCCCAACAAAGAAGTCTACAAGGAGGAATTCCCATGGTCTTCCATATGAGTTCCTTTGGGGAAGTAAGGCGGCAGCTTCAGTGGTCTATTCTTGGAGCCAAAAGCCCTCTAAGAGATGGACACACAGGAGCCAGTGGGCCGTGGGGGAGGAGGAAACTCACATTAAGTTGATGTTTTGGCAATCGTTGGGTTTCTCTTATCGAAGCTTGGCCTTTTTCCATCTTTCAGAGAGATGTCATCCCTTTAGGAGTGCGTGCGGTGCCCACACTGATGTTAGCGAGTAAAAGGGGGGCCAAGTGGATTGAGTGGTTTTGGTTCTCGGTCAGAGCTTTCATGTTATTAAACATAAGCATGAGAGTAGGGAATGTTTTTCTTTTATTTTTTAAAAATACCCATGAGACTTTGGGATGAGTGCTCAGATGTCCATAAACTAGTTTGAGAACCCGAATCCAGGATGAAATGATGGAGATGAAAGATGGCCGGAGCCTTCCTTGGAGAGGGAGGTTATGTATGGCAGGTAGATCTCTTTGGTACAATACCCTTCCTTCTCAGTGATATTCCTGAATCCATCCTGGGGCTGAGTTGCTGCCCAATTGGTACTTGATCAGCCTGAGCACACAGGTCAGAGGGAAGGAAGAAGGACAGTTTCTGCTTTAGATGGGGCTCTCTACCTGGGACCCATGGACTTTCACTCAGGACTCTCAAAGGGTTCCATGCTCCCCAAGGTATTAGGAGCAGACTGGTACCATTGGTTGTAATAGATATAAAAGCATCATTGGTGAATCCACATTGGAAATGGCTCTTTGCCAAGATGAACGTACATAAACATCTCCGAGAGCTGCAGGATCGCTTTGCAGTGGAATCAGCTGCCCTGGGGAATGTACCAGAAGTACTGGGGAGGACATCTGGCGCAGTAACTGAGGGCTCAGAGATTTTGTATCTGGTTTCATTACTCGGACGTTGTAGGCCTGGGGCAGGGGGCTTACCTCTCTAAGCCTCAGCTGGCAGATCATTAAAATAGTAACAATTGTGTCTGCTCATTAATAGGCCTGTTACAAGGAGTCAATGAGATACATGTAAGGGCTTAGCCCAGTCTTGGCAAATAGTGAGCCTTCCATTAACAGAACAAGAGAGAAGAAAAAGGCAGCAGAGAAAGTGACAGTGACCAAGAATCTTTGACAGATAAAGTGGCTTTGTTAACAGGAATGACTGACTCGCTCTCAGAAGATGAAGATACAGAGGTACAGATGTGGTTGAACTAAGTTTTCAAGGCCGTTAGAGCCACGGTACAAGGGAGACTGGGGAGAAGGGTCGCTTGTCATCGTCTGGACTGACTGAAGGTAAAAACGTGAGGGATGTTTGCGATCAGGTGGACTCAGCATTTCACACCTAGTCTTTGGTATATGGAGTCCCTGCGTGGTGCAGACGGGTAATGCACTCAGCTGCTAAATGAAAGGTTGGAGGTTCGAGTCCACCCAGAGGCACCTCGAGAGAAAGGCCTGATGGTCTACTTCTGAAAAACTGGCCTTTGAAAACTGTGGAGCACAGTTCTACTCTGACACACATGGGGTCACCATGAGTTGGAATTGACTTGATGTCAACTGGTACTGTACTGTATTTTGGTATACAAACAGGAGGTGGGGGGGAGGGGCTAGAGATTGGGGTGCAGAAGTTACCAAGGAGAGTCAACTGGCTTTCAGCTGCCTTGACTGAGACCTATTAGGGTATTTCCAAGGAGGGTAGATCCTCACGGACCATATTTATCCCTTGCCTCAACTGCCAGGGAAAGCTTTGTGTTCAGTACCCTTCATTGTCCCTGGAACTAGATCTACAGTTAAAATAATTTCTCCTTGGGCTGTCTGAAGATGCAGACAAAGACATGAATATCAATTCCACATTCTTCCCAAAAAAAGTCTCTGGTTTTTTGTTTTCATAACAATACCTGGCAGGTTTCATTATAGAAAATACTGAGCTGCACGCAGAGTCCAGCAGAGCCAGATGTTTGCTGCGCTTGCAGGAGGAGAGAGACAATAGCAGCCTGTGGACACAGACAGTAAAGTGGGGTGCCTGTGGGTGACCCCCATAGAACAAGAGTTAAGAGTCTGTCCAAATCAGCTTAGTTCCCTAGCTTTTTCTCATCTGCAACTTTATTTGGCCATGTGCACTGGGTAATTGTTTAATATCCCATCTTCCCTGTGTAAAAATAGCCAAAGGCTTAACGATCATAGGACAGGAGCTGCTTGCTTAACTCAACAGTGATTTTCCCATGCAGTTGTGCAGGTGATCGTTTACAGAGCAAGATTTGATCTCATTGATTGATAAAATCTAATCAATAGATTCCCTGGTCAGAGTCTAGTGTTGCTATTTATTGTCTTTTCAAGACTAGCCAAGTTTATTTTTCGATTTTTCACTTCTAAATTGCATAAGAAATTTAAATTCTACCACCTGCCTTCTTGGGGTGTGTGTGTAGAATGGGTGGCATTAAACATAGTATATCTGATGAACATTTTCCAGTGCCATTGAGTTGACTCCGACTCATGGTGACCTTATGTGTGTCAGAGTAGAACTGAGCTCCATAGGGTTTTCAGTGGCTGATTTTTGGAAGTAGATTGCCAGGCCTTTCTTCAGAGGGCCTCTGGGTAGACTCAAACCTCCAACCTTTCGGTTAGCAGCCGAGCTTGGTAACCATGCACCACCCAGGGACTCCATTTACTCTGAACAAAATACTGTCGTAGGCATTCTGTATAATACTTGCCCTAGTTTCCTGGTGCTGCTATAACAGAAATACCACAGGTGGGTGGCTTTAACAAACAAATTTATTCTCTCGCAGTTCACGAGGCTAGAAGTCTGAATTCAGGGCGCCAGCTCCAGGGGAAGGCGCTCTCTCTGGGCTCTGAGGGAAGGTTGTTGTCTTTTTCAGCTTCTCTCCCCTGGTTCCTGGGTGATCTCCATGCAGCTCAGTCTTTCTCCATTTGTGCTTCTTTCTGCTGCGCCTGGTCGGTGCTTTTATATCTCAGAAAGTGATTTTACCGTCAGACACACCCTGCATTGACGTGGCCTTGTTAACATAACAAAGAAATCCCTATTCCCAGATAGGATTATATCCACATGTATAGAGGGTAGGATTTATAACACATATTTTGGGGGGACACAATTCAATCCATAACAATATAAAAGCAAGACAATACTTGCTTTCAAGGAGCTTACAACCTAGTGGAGGGCCGCATGCGCTCAGCTGTGCATATAGTTCGATGTTTTATACTAAGTATACAGAGAATAGTGGGAGCACAGAAAAAGGACTGCAGAAGTGTCCACATTCATTTGGCAGTATCTTACTAGCTTTGCAGAACTGATTCCATTTGAACTCAGACTTGAAACATAAACACTACCTTTATCAAGGTCGTGATGGGGAAGGGTGACGGGAATGGCAAGGGCAGTGTCTCCAAGGCGAGAAAGTACAGAGCATGCTTGAACAGCGAGTTGTACGAGGATTGTGTGTGGGCACAGGACACCCATAGCCCAGGTAGAGTAGGGAGGAGGCAGCAATGGAAAATTATTACTTGTCTAAGAGGATCCCTGTTGGCACAACGGTTAAGCGCTTGACTGCTAACCCAAAGCTCGCTGGTTCGAACCTACTAGCTGCTCTATGGGAGACAAACACCCAAACCAAGCCCATTGCCATCGAATCGATTCCAACTCATAGCGACCCTGTAGGACAGAGTAGAACTGCCCCATAGGGTTTCCAAGGAGGGGCTGGTGGATTTCAACTGCTGACCTTTTAGTTAGCAGCCTGAGCTCTTAACCTCTGCACCACCAAGGCTTCCTGCAGGAGAAAAGACCTGACGATCTACTCCCGTGAAGATTACAGCCTAAGAAACCCTATGGGACAGTTCTGCTCTGCCACATGGGGTCGCTATAAGTCGGAATCAACTCAACGGCGTGTGACAAGTTATTGTAATGAGTTTGTGCAGCTTCACTGAAGATTTCTAAGTCGGGGATTGTATTAGTCATCCAGTGCTGCTACAACAGAAATACCACAAGTGGATGGCTTTAACAAAGAGAAGTTTATTTCCTTACAGTAAAGTAGGCTAAAAGTCCAAATTCAGGGTGTCAGCTCCAGGGGAAGGCTTTCTCTCTCCCTCAGCCTTCTCATCAGTGTTCCCCCGGACCAGCAGCTTCTCGGCGCAGGGACCCCGGTCCAAAGGACGTGCTCTGTTCCTGGCACTGCTTTCTTGATGGTATGAGGTCTCCAACTCTCTGCTTGCTTCCCTTTCTTTTTATCTCTTGAGAGAGAAAAGGTGGTGCAGGCCACACCCCAGGGAAACTCCCTTTACATTGGATCAGGGATGTGATCTGGGTAAAGGTGGTGTTACAATCCCACCCTAATCCTCTTTCACATAAAATTACAATGATGAAATGGAGGCCACCCACACAATTCTGGGAATCATGGCCCAGCCACATTGTTACACACATTTTTGGGGGGACACAGTTCAGCCCATGACAGGGATCAAGCCATATAATTAGATCTGTTTTTAGGGCAATAGCCAGGAGAACAAAAGGAAGGATGAAATGAAAGAGCCGGGAGAGATGGGAAGCGGGAAGACCAGCGAGGAGTTGATGGAAGCCCAAGGATGCCCAGCATCAATGCAAAACCAAAGACAGATGGTGACAGCTTGGCCCCTACACGTTGTCTTCATTTTTCTGTCCTGAGTTTCTTATGATCCTAGTTGCTGTCTGTATTTTGTACTTAGGCTTCTTTTCCTTTCTTTAAATAACAGAATGGTAAGAAAGAACCTATCCTTCCATCTTTCCCCTCTTAGAATCAGGCAGAACAACCATCTTGGACCACAGAAAAGTCTCCATCACTATTACTAACCTGCACTCACGGGGTTTGCGTGTTTAAAGCTGGTTACGTCCACAT